GAGGCAGAGATGGGGTCATGGAGAGGGGAGCGGCTGAGGACTTTAGATTCATGGGAAGAGAGGGACTAAGAGCTGGTGGCCAGGAGGCAGACTTGCAGAATGTGCCCTTTGGAGATGTAAATTATTATATATGCCTGAATTTAAAAAAAAAGCTAAAGTGAATAGACAGAAATACTGTTAACTGATGATGCATGAAGGGGATTATAATCATTGTAATGAAACAAGGTATATGATTTGCTGAATGTAAAACTGGATGATCTGCCCTGTAAACTTTCACTCAATCCACAATAAAAACCTTAAAAACAAAAAAAAGATTCATAGGAAAAATGGAATAGAAAGATAATGGAATTTTCCCAAGAACTTTTTTGAAGCCCCTCATATGCTGTCTGAAAAGGAAGACAATGTTGAGACTATACTGGACACAAAAGGGAAATGACAGATCAAGGGGATGGAGAACAGAACCAAATTAATGAGACAGTGGATTTAAGGACCCTGATAGGACACAAGTTAGAGAACTCAGAGGGTAAGCACAGGCTGAAGACACCAAGAGAGGTGGAAGGGCCAGCTAGAGAAAAGAGCACACCAAGAAACCACCAATGCTAAGACGCGGATTGCAATCACTGAGATGAAATACAGTGTAGAATTTGTTGGATGTAAAACTGATGATTTGCTCTGCAGATCTTCACTTCATTCACATACAAAAAAAAAAAAAAAAAACACACTTTAAAAAAATTAAAAAGATAACACCAATGCCATCACCATCTGAACACTGATGACATGTTCACCACGAAAGAAGAGAATAGCATTAGGTTCCCAGCTGACTCACCAAGGGCTACAGCACGTAAGCTAGGAGCTACCAGTGGCATTCAAGAAAACATCTTATTACCAATAAGTCAATGTGAACTGCTGAGGGACACAGGGACTCAAAAGTCTGAAACTCATTATGGAGGCCAGCATCATTCCCCCACATACAGGTTCAGGGTGAGGAACTAGGTTTTAGTCTGCTGGAGCCCTCAATTTCAGCCAGGCCACCACTGAGGCCTCCTCATATTAACTACCACAAAAGCAGGAAACTAGGAGTCTAGTTTCTCTGTTTGAAATGGGCCAGAATTTCTAAGGCTTGATTTTGTTCATTTCTACTTACTGAAAACATGGCCATATTCTATCAAAAATGAGCCTATTTAGAAGCAAAATTCAGCCCATGTGTATATTATCTTCCCACCCCCATACATGCATCCACAGACACAAAGACAAAGTGAACAAGTGGATGAGAAGTCACAATATTTTTTAAAGGGAGCACAATAAAGAGCTCCGTCTCACAAGTAATATAACTTACTCTTCTTTTTCTTCTTTGTGCCCCCCAGAGCTGAGTGCAGGGCATTCAGAAACCAGGACAGAAAGTCGACTCCATCCCCTGGGAAAAAAGGAAGGGTGGGACATGTCAAAGCTGGGAGGCACTGCATACATAAACCCACACCTTGGTTGGTACAACTCCACATCCCAGGTTTTCCTTCTTCCTCTCTGGCCATGTCACCTTGTCCCTATTACCTACACCTCCAGCTGGTCACCAAATGTTGGCATTCTTCAAAATCAAGCCCTTGGCTTCCACTCTTTACTATCTCTTCTAATCTACATGCTGATGTTAGGTGCTGTCCAGTTGGTTTCAACTCATAGTGTCAAGATGTACAGTGGAACTGCCCAGTTCTGCACCATTCTCATAACCGTTCCTATTCTCCAGCCCACTGTCACTGCATCAATCCATCGCGTTGAGGGTCTTCCTCTTTTATGCTAAACCTCTACTGTACCAAATATAATATCCCTCTCCAGGGACTGGTCTCTTATCATCCACGAGACAAACTCTTGTCATACCTGCTTTTGGCTGTACTCCTTCCAAGACAGGTTTGCTCATTCTTCTGGCAATCCGTGGTGTATTCAGTATTTCCCACAATACCATAATCCAAATGCACCGATTGTACTTTGGTCTTCTTCATTTATTGTCCATCTTTCACATGCATATGAAGTAAACGAAAATAACTATGGCTTGGGTTAGGTACACCTCATTCTTCAAGGTGACACACATTTGTTCTTTTAACATTTTAAAGAGATCTTTTGCAGCAGATTTGCACAATGTAATACGTCATTTAATTTGAATGCTGGTTTTCATAGGCACTGATTGTGGATCCAAGTAAAAGGAAATCCCTGACATCTTCAATCTTTTCTCTGTTTATCATGATGCTGCTTTTTGGTCCAATTGTGCATATTTTTGTTTTATGTTGAGGTGTAATCAATACTGTAGATAGTAGCTTTGTTCTACTATATCAGCAAGTGCTTCAAGTCCTCTTCACTTTCAGCAAGCAAGACTGAGTCATCCTTTCTATGGCAAATTATTAGTGAGTCTTCCTCCAATTCTGATGCTGCATTCTTCCTATTGTCCAACTCTGATCCATACCACAAGCACAAACCTACCACCATCAAGATTTTTCCAACTCACAGTGATCCTATAAAGGGTTTCCAAGACTGTAAGTCTTTCCAAGAGCAGACCACCTCATCTTTTCCACATGAAGCAGCTGGTGGGTTTGAACCACTTACCTTGTGGTTAGCAGTCCAAAGCCTAGCCCATAGCACCACTATACCAGAACCTAAAATTGTCATCTCTACTCCGTACCTGTATTTCTAACCCAATAAGCTCAGACTTCCTGCTTCTCTGCTCTAGCTTACAAGAATTCGTTGCAAGACAGGCAGGAAGAAGCCTTTTCTCTGCACCATGACTGAAATGGCTCTAGGGTGGAGTCTAAGGGTTTCTGGGAAGCAGCACGAGTGAAATTCCTACTAATCTCTGAGGTGGGTGTCTAAGGAGTCTGCCACCCAGACAATTTCCAGAAGAACTAGGATTTGCCTCAATTTTACTCTTTGCCCGTCCAATTAAAATCTCATGAGCTTTAGTATGCCTTCCTAATGTCAAAGGCCTCTGATAAGTCCCCAATGACGTTCCTACTTCATTCACATACTATGCTTGCATAATATATGCTTTTCTTTTCTCGCAGCAAGAACCTCTTCAAATGACTAAACACTAAGCAGTGAACACCTGGCTAGGTCTCTGCGACATGGGGAAACAACATTTACAGGACAATGTAATTACTGGCATTTGGCTATGATTATTGTTGTTGTTGTTATGTGCCATGGAATTGGTTCCAACTCATAGAGACCCTGAACAGGGTTTCTGAGGCTGTAAATCTTTACGGGAGCAGAAAGCCTCATCTTTCTCCTATGGTGCAGCTGGTAGTTTCCAACTGCTGACCTTGCGGCTTGCAGCCTGATTCGTAACCATTACGCTACCAGAGCTCCTTTTGGCTATGATAGGAGAAAAGAATCCACTGTGCTAGAAAATGCAATCATCTCAACCTTATCCATTCCAAATTGTCTCCTATTATTTACTACCCTAAGGAGTCCTGGTGTGGCGCTGTGGGTCAATGCACCAGACTGCAAAGCTGTTTGAACTGCAAGGTCGGCGGTTCAAGCTCACCAGCTGCTCCTCAGAAACCCTATACAGGGTCGCTATGGGTCGGAACCGACTCTACAGCACTTCACAACAACAACAAAAGGCTCCAAGGCCCCATGGCTGCCCTTACCTACTTAAAATCTTCTGTTTCTCCTTTCCGTAGGGACCTGAAGAAATCCACGGGAGGAAGATGAGTAAAGCCCATGGAGTAGCTCTACTCCATTCTGTAGGGTTGCTATGAGTCGGAACTAAATCAACAGCAATGGCTTAGTATCTGAGAATCTTCAAGGCTGAAGAATCATTACATGTCCCCGCTAACTCACCCTCAATCAGGGCAATGCTTTTAAAATGTAAATCTGATGGAGCTCTGGTAGCGTAGTGGTTACGAATCGGGCTGCGAACCTGAAGGTCAGTGGTTTGAAACTACCAGCCGCTCCGCGGGAGAAAGATGAGACTTTCTACTCCCGTAAAGATTTACACCCTAGAAAACCCTGTACAGGGTCGCTATGGGTCGGAACCGACTCGACGGCACTTAACAACAACCTTCACTTTAAAGTTTGCACTGATTCTCCGCTATTGTCAAGTATAAACTAACTTCCTTATGCCCAAACCAAACCAAACCCACAGCCACCATATTGATTCAGACTCACAGAGACCCCTGTATAGGGTTTCCAAGGCTGTAAGACTTTGTGGGAGCAAAAAGCCTCGTCTATCTCCTGTGGAGCAGCTGGTGGATTTGAACTGCCAACGCTGAAGTTAGTGCTTACCCTACAGCGCCACTGGGGCTCAAATTCCTTCTTGTTGTTGTTGTTAAGTGCCGTGAAGTCGGTTCCAACTCACAGCAACCCTGCACAGGGTTTCCAAGGCTGTAAATCTTTACAGGAGCAAAAAGCCTCATCTTTCTCCCGTGGAACCACTGGTACTTTAGAACTGCTGACCTTGCGGATCACAGCCCGATTCGTAACCACTACGCTACCAGCCTTGTAGTGACACAGAAACCCAATACAACCTAGCTCTGACCACCACCTCAACCCTCCACACTGCCCCCTAGAGTCCTGGGGTCCTGTCACTTGCAGTGTGTTCTAGCTGAGTCAGGCTCTCCTGCGCCTCCATTCCTCTGTCCATGGTGCTCAGACCTGGAATGTCCTTCCTCCCAGTCAACCTCCCTTTCCCCCTACCAACAACTCAGGGGTCTTTCTTGGCACTCTAAAAGACCTGGAATGTCCTTCCTCCCAGTCAACCTCCCTTTCCCCCTACCAACAACTCAGGGGTCTTTCTTGGCACTCTAAAAGACCTGGAATGTCCTTCCTCCCAGTCAACCTCCCTTTCCCCCTACCAACAACTCAGGGGTCTTTCTTGGCACTCTAATCCACGGTCTATCTCCCACGTTAGAATGGCGGTCCTTGCCCCATGCTCCCATAGCATACTCTGCTTCCTCTATCAGCACTCAACACTGTGCTGTTGTTGTTAAGTGCCACTCAGAGACCCTGTATGGCATTTCTGAGGACCGGCTGGTGGGTTTGAACCACCGACCTTGCACAGTCCAGTGCTGCTTACTCTACAGTACCACACCAGGACTCTGACCACTCTGTAGCTATCTTGTTATATAACTTTTTTCTCCAACAGAAAGGGAGCACCTAAAAGAGAAAAATAAGTTTGTTCAACAAGAATGACTTGTTTCTTACCTTGCTTGGTGATCTGAAAAGTCTTCTTGCTGCATAGGACTACAGCCTGAAGCATTTCATGGGGAGAGACATGTGCCTTAAAATTCCGAGGGTTCCAAAGCTTTCTCATCAGCTCTCCAAAACGCTGTACCAACAGGAACATGATATCTCCAGGAGGGCGCTTGATGTTCTTATAATTGTCTTCTTCCAGGAAGTAGTTCCGGAGAGGAGGAACGTTAGACAGAGCCTAGAAGTCAAACCTTCACCATTAGCCTGAAGTCCCTTTGCAGGACCCCATGGAGTCAAGGCTCCTCCCATCAAAGTTGTTCCTATAGAACCCTGGGCCGTGCCTGCAATGACCTTAGAGTCAGAAGGAAATGAAGCCAAGAATCGTACCCAGCATTCACACTTTAGGAATAGCCTGCCCTTTCAGTTTCACATGAAGTCCAGTTCTGCAGATATTTTGTTGACGCACATATGAGAAAAAAGTTCATTCAAATCCCTATCCATAAACCAACTTATTTAATAATTTATTTTACTATAATTATGCTTGTGACTAAATCTGGATTCATAAGAATTGAAGGCTAGAAACCTTAATACTCTATCTTCGTCACCCATTTTTGCTGAGGCAGCATACTGGTAACTATCTGGAGAACACAACTCCAATCATCTTAATATTTGATGTTTTCCTAAAATCTGGTGTTGACAGAGTGATAATAAAATGATACAAACATCCTGTTATAATGTAAAGTGGTCAAAAAATTTAGGAGAACAAAATTAAATTTGACCTCATTAAGCAAAGACAAAGAACAGCCATGTATGCTAGTTGAGGAAGAACACATGCTTGCAGCCTGAGCTATAAAAAAGAGCTTGGAACAGATGTTAAGTAGGAAAACAGTACCGCCCCCCACCCCCAAGGTCCCTTCTTCATGGGTTCACGAGTCTTCACCAGCTCTGTACTGACTATGAACCCAGTTTCTTGGGTGAGACAGTCCACTTAGAAAAGACAAGAGTTTCTATCAAACACAATAAATCCATGTGCCTCTGGGAAAGAACTCAAGACACTGTCAGCATTAGAACCATAATCAGAAGTGATCAAGAGAGCCTCTAACCCAGAGAAGGAAAGGGGCTGGGTGCTAAGGACAGGGGTGGGAGGGGCAGAGAGACATGCAAGGTATACCCTTTTGTTGGGGGATGATGCATGGATGGGAGGGTAATTAAGGCAATGAAACGATATAGGATAGAATGAATGTAAAACTAATGTTCCCCCATGTAAACGATCACTCAATACACAATAAATCATTCAAATAAAAAAAAAAAGAGAGATCCTCTACCAGCTTAGCCCCAATCAAGAAACAAGACTTTTTCCTTAGAGAATAACTACTTTTTAAAAAAAAGTTTCTCTCAGCAAAGTATGAATAAGCGTTTTTTCTAATTCTCAGTTATACACACTGTGTAAAGAGGTTGCTCTCTGGCTTCCATGCCCTAAAACCAGGCCTATCTGGACAAAAGAGCAATAATACAAATAAGAGTATCAAACCCAGTGATAAATGATCCAGGGACGATGTAAGGCACAGAACACTCTTGTGTGGTGCTAGTAAATTTGCAAATTGCTGCCAACCTCCTACAACATAGAATCTAGGCCCTAATTGCATTAATATAAGTGTAGGTGATATGTTAAATACATTATAATTCATTAATAAAATGATACATGAAATCATTAAGAATGCTACACTCTATTGCTATGAAACCAGAAAAAATGGATAGTGCCTGGCTACATTACTGAGCATCTGAATCCAGGACCCAAAATATGGATCTTGATCAAGAGGAGGGAAAATGTACAACAACTTAAACTTCTCATAAAAACCAGACTTGCCGTAAAAACCCCAAATTTATTGCCTGGAAATAATTTTTACACCTTGAGTTAAAACTATCCCATAAAGTCATCTTTAAACTAAACAACAATTAACAAGGAATGTTTGCTTGAGCACAGTATTCTTTTACAGAATTATCTATATGAGATCAAATTTACAACAGTAACTTTAAAGCACAGATGAGAACAATGGTTTTTTCGTTAACATTTTCCAGTGTTTTAGGTGACAGTTTACAAAGCAAATTAGTTTTCCCAACCAATAGTTCATACATAAATTGTTTTATGGCTTAAGGCGCAATCCCTCAACGTGTCAGCACTCTTCCTCTTTCCTCTCTGGGTTCCTTGTCTCCATTTATCTGGTTTCCCTGTCCCTCCCTATCTTCTCATATTTGGTCTGGAGCCAACATTGCTTTGTTGGTCTCGTGTAGTTGACATGTGGTTTGTTACAGGTGAGAACTTGAAGGGGCAAAGAGTCGAAATCAATGGTGGTGTAACAGTATGGGCAGAGATAGGGAGAATGCAAACACAATGTGAAGTACATGACTACGCCAATGAACAGCACATGCAAAAACTGCTGAATGGGTATATGTTTTGCTGTACATATTTACACACACACACCTAGAATGGTGAAAGCAGGGATATGATTCTGGCAGACTCAAGTATTTGAATGTGTATTGTGGCTTTTTCTAAAAATAAGCAAATATTTATTAATGTAAATAACTTTTTCAAATGTTGCAGAATATTTATTGATTTCATAGTATATTTTAAAATTAAATATAGTAGAGTCCTGGAAACATAGTGGGTTACTGTGGTACCGTGAATTTACTTGATATGGTTTTTCTATCTAATGTCTTAATTCCCACCAAGTGATTGAGTAAGACCATGCAAATAAGGTGTACAGGATTCTAAGGCTGAGATTGGTTAATTTTGCTGTCCAACTAAGATCCATCTCAGAAGCAGGAACAGAAGATTCCAGGTCCATCAAGAATGAACATGAGAGAAACATGAGATACCCACCTAGAAAAGCAGCGACAGCAGAGGTGAAGGCAGAGGCAGAGGCAGAGGCAGTGGCATGGAGAGACAGAGCAGCTGCAGGCTCTAGGCCCAGGGACTGAGTAAGGCTGAGTGCTTAAGGGCAGGAGACTGGCTTGTAGAATGTGCCCTTTGAGCATTCTGACTAGCTAAAAGAGCTTTGTAACATCTGTCTGAACAGGGCAGAAGCCAAGGGGCCACATGGCTGGGAAACCAAAGATGAGTGAGGTGTGCCTGCAATATGGCAGACAAGACATGTGCCTGATTGGAAAAATGCTGCATCCTGAGTTGGTTTTGATCCTGAATTGTAACCTGTTCATTTCCCTACAACTCTTGAGTATTGTTATGTTTGGTGTGGCTGTTGCAATGGATTATTGAACCCAGATGTGAAGCACAGAGTGCTGTGGGAGGGATGTTGGTGTCAGAAGAGGGTAACGATCATTATAGGGTGGAGGCATGTATTCACAGGAATTGGCTTTGGAGAGATTTTTGAGTTTGATTGAATTTCCCCTTTGTGAAGCCAGGGGACGTCAGACATGGCTCCCATATTGCAGCTATGCCTTAGGCTGCTAACCACAAGGTCAACAGTTCAAATCCATCAGTTAGTCCACAGGACAAAGATGAGGCTTTCTGTTCTCCAGAAGATGAACAGCCTTGGAAGCCCTATACAGAGGAGCTATGAGTTGGAACTTACTCTGCAGCAGCAGCAGCTTATGTAGAGCCCTGGTGTGGTGCTGTAAGATAAGCACTGGAGCGCTAAATGCAAGATCAGTATATCAAATCCACCAGCCACTCCTTAGAAACCCTATACAGTCACTGAGAGTCAGAACTGACTTGACAGCACTTAACAAAAACAGCTAGATGCATATGTATATTAGAATCCATAACCATCAAATTAATTCTGATTCACAACACCCTATAGGACAGAACATTACTGTCCCAATGGGGTTTCCACTTTATAGAAGCAGAGTGCCACATCTTTCTCCCACACAGCAACTGGTGGGTTCAAACCTCAGACCTTTCAGTTAGCAGCTGACCACTTTAACCACTGTACCACCAAGGATCCTTATATATACTATGTTACTATATCAATTAAAAAACCTACAATTGTATACACTTTAAAAAGTCCAGAAAAGAAATATACCAAAATGTAACAGTGTAATAAGTAGCACAAGACTGTAGGATTTTGACTGAAGCACCAGGTAGTAGAGAAAATAAATGCTGAGACAGGTATTAGGAATGGCAAGATAAATCATATTGCTGCATGACAGAACATCCTAAATGTGTGACTATGTCTAAAAAAGTTCTCGAAGTCTATGCCCTGTTAACTACTCTGGGGTAGAGCACTGCTGTTGTTGTTGTTGTTGTTGTTGTTAAGTGCCGTCGAGTCGGTTCCGACCCATAGCGACCATGTACAGGGTTTCCGAGGGTGTAAATCTTTACGGGAGTAGAAAGCCTCATCTTTCTCCAGCGGAGCGGCTGGTAGTTTCAAACCGCTGACCTTAAGGTTTGCAGCCCGATTCGTAACCACTACGCTACCAGAGCTCCTTGGGGTAGAGCACTGGGGAAGGGAAAGAACAAAACTTTCCCTTTATACTTTATACAGTTCTCCCCCAATGAAGCTATGTTTGCAATTTTTTAAATCAATTTTTTGTTGTTGAATGAAGCGAATATTGCTGTCAATTTTCATACTCTGTCTTGTGCTTACCAACATTTTCTTTTTCATAATGTGTACATATTCTGTAATTTAAAAAAAAAGAGAGAACTTTTCATTGAAAATAAGAAAACTTTGGCTTTCTGCCTTTCCCATTTGAAAGCATAAAAGTACAGGAGCAAGAATGAGACATCTGACAGCTGAGACACTGAACATCTGCACCACTTTAAAAATGCATTATCTACATACCTGTTTCTTTTTTGGTATCTCCAGGCAACACCAAGATTCTATCCCTCATTCCCTACAACACTCCAAGGCCATGAGCCTGGAGGCTAAAAAAAGGCCTCACAACTTGGCAACAGTCCCTGGAGTAGTCACAGGAATATACTGCTCATCACAGTACAAAGACACAAGTAGGGGCCAAGCAGGGCTCAATGCCAGGAGACCATTCAACTGTATTCTTCAACAAGGCAGCAGTGATCTCTTGGCTGACTCTCACACTATTCCCAGGTTACCCTCTTTGTTTCATTGTTCCCATCTTAGTCCTACCTGAAGAACAGCGTTGGCATAGTCGTTGGCCTTTATGTTATTCAGTCCCACGATACCTGGCAGGTAAGTGGTACCATCATATGCCCGGGACAATTTGGCTTGCTTGTCCAAGTTTGTAATTTGCTGTTTTGTGAAAGTAGGCTTCAACACATACTGTAAACACAAGAACATTGTTTGAGGACTAAAAACAGAATTCACAAAATAGATAAGATATGTGTATAACAGCAACTTCAGCCAAAGACACAAAAAGTGAACAGGAACTTCTGATCACACACCCAAAAAGATCCCCAACAGTAAATATAAAGACAAAGGTAATGTGGGGTAGGTCCTCTCCACACAGCTATCTAGAAGGGAATTTCTGTGTATAGCCACAAATCACTAAATCCTGGGTCCTTCCTCAGACCTCAGCTATCTGGCCAGCTCCAAGATAAATGAATGCCAGAAACCAAGGTGCTACTCCTGAAGGTAGCAGGAGCTTGAGTCCTGGGCATGAGCTCACACAGCCCGCCCATCTACCCAGTTCAGGAGCTCACACACAGCAGGCTCATCTACCCAGTTCAGGAGCTGGCTGCCTCCTCGCCTCTGGGCAGGATTAAGGATCCCCATTACTCCCTGTGATTAAAGGTTTGGGACAAGAGTCCTCCCAGCTACAGAGATATGTGGGGCATCTAGATGTGCTACACAATGGTAGTCACTAACTTGCTTTGATATCTTGATTTCAATTCCTCTCTTGTAAATTCTGTCTATAATAATTTTAACTTCAATTATTAATAGACTTAAGAAACTTTAAAAGTAACATAAGTTTTTGTTGTTTTTAAGTGCTGCTGAGTCAGTTCCAACTAACAGCGACCTTGTATATGGTTTCCAAGGACCAACTGGTGAGTTTGAACCAACCTTGTGGTTAGCAGTCCAGTGCTTATCCTGCAGCACTACATAAGCAATATTTCAAAAACTTTGAACATCTAGCTTTCCTTGAAAAACAAACAAGATTTTTAACACAATCAATATATAGCCACTTGCTGGAAAAGAAATAAACAACCATTTCAATATTAATCAATGCTCTCCACTTAGCACAGCAAGTGACTCTTGGCACAAGTCACAAAGGGGGTATGTTGGCCATTCTGGCCACATCAAATGTCAGAAGTAGTCAAGAGCTGGGAACAGTTTGATATTTACTGTCCAACCTACCAAGCCCAATTCACAAGTCTACACCAAAATGTAAAAGGATGATCAATTTCACAAAAATGCCTTAACCCCATCTACCACATACTCTGATCCTCAGGTTTCCTGGATAATGGACACAAATACCTTAACCACTGACAAGAAATGTTCCACATTTTGCTTAAAAATATATATATTTTTTAAAGTTTTAGCCCCAATTAGAAAGCAGTCCTATTTCTTCAGCTACATTTCTACAAGGTTGTAGACTACAGGTTGCAGTTACGAATCCTGATCACCTTAACTGTTTCTCTGGTTCCACCCACAGAGAATGAAACCTCTCCTAACCCAAGGGTCGTCCCTAGTCTCAAGATGGATAGTTCCAAGAGAATTCTGGGAAGGTTCCCAAAAGAACTGGCCCCAAACCAGCCCTGTCAGACACAATACCGTGATATCCTCCAGTGAGGAATCGATGATCTCATAGTTGTCTGGGAGGCAGTAAAATTTGAGGGTGTGGAGGTTGAGGAAGACATGGTGGCTGAACTGGACACTGTGAATGTAAGCATGAGACTTCAAGCCCCGGCCTGTAGGGAAGGAGGATGAAAGGCTGTAAGAGAAGGACAGATTCCAGAAAGGCCTAGATCAAGGATGATTTTCCTTGGTTTTGTACCAGAACATATTGATATCAGCAAAAACAAAAAATTATGCCATCCATGAAATGAGATTCCCACATGAGCCTCTCGCATCACAAAATTTAGCCAAGACATAATAGCTTGACCAAGTAGTTTTAGTTCCCTGAAACACATAACCCATTGGTTTGGGAAACTAGTTTCATGGAAAAATGGAATTAAAAGATAACAGACATTTTCCATGAACTTTTCGAAGGCTCTTCATATACGAATGTGAAACATACATACATACACATGTTTCACATATATTAAAAATTAGATTAATGCATGTATCACACATAATATATGCATACACAAGCGGGCTTCAAAAAGTTTGTGGAAAAATCCCGTTATCTTTTAATTCCATTTTCCCACAAACTTGTTGAAGCCCCCTTGTACATACACAGATATGCGCCCTTGCACACGCACACACACACACACACACACATATCCTGCAGACAATCCACCGTCACTTAGTCCTAAATTTCTAATTAACCACATGTTGCACAATCCTACACCTAGGTACCTTGGTTTATGATGCCATTCCTTTCTGACAAATCTCCCTCTTTGCCCATTCAAACCCTTATGTACCATCAATTCAAGTCCCACCTCCACCTCCTCCATGAACCTCACACAAACACCCCAGCTACCATGGACCTTTCCTTCTTTCCAATTCTTACCGTCTTTAGTTGTACTCTGTGTCCAGCCTAGCAGCAATCTTCATGGTCTTACAGAGTTGACTGATTGCTTTATGTATTATCCTTGACTTCATACAAAAGTAAGTAGTTTATATTTCTTTCATATATGCTATATATGTAATCTGAATGAACTGAAATAAGTTTTCAGAAAACAGATATAAAGAAGTCCTTCAAGCAAAAAGATTCTCAGCAGAAGACATGGGAAACATTACAGACTCAAAAACCCAGAATCTTTGACAGCCCATTATAGTCTTTCACATAGGTAATTCTTTCTCCCTTTCAGAGGTATTCAGGTTCTGACCAATCAGAGAGACTCCTGTTTGATTTTTAAGAGTAAATGGGGAAGAACAAACAAGATGGCGGATCGGGTG